ATAGTCATTTTAGCCATTCACATTTTAAAATGTGTGCTCTTTATTTCTTTGAATGCATTAAGCTTTTCCAATGTACCAATTGCTGAGTGAAGGTGGTTGGTGCCTCATAAAACATGCCCTCAGATTAGAAGGTAGACCTTTTAATCACTCAGCCTCCTGTCCTTCCCATCTATTCTCAATCTCTGGCATTTTTTATAGGAATAAAACCTGAAGAGAAAGAAGAGTGTTTTTGTTTGTTTCTCTGCTGCTTTTTCACAGCCAAAAGCCTGCAGAAAATTTTAGCTGGGCTCCACTTTCAGTTCTAGTAACTTCTAAGGGGAAATGACTTTACTTAAAGAAGCAACAGAACCAAGCTGAACAGCAGATATTTGTGAAATGAGTAGATATCCTTAATGCTTAATATTTGACTAGATAGTTCAGTGATTTAGGTATCTAGCCATGAAGTCAGAAGTTAAGAGCTTGATTCTCCCCTGTGCCTCCCATGAAAAAGCCAGTCTATGGAGTCAGGGGCAAGCTGCACAGTCCCAGGATATCCCATGAGAAAAGGGAATGGTAAACTGCTTCTGAGTATTCTCTACTTGGAAAACCCTGAAAGGGGTTGCCACAAGTCAGAATTGACTTGATAGCACATTATTTATTTATTAGCATTCAGAGAGCTACATACAGTACATATATTCAGAGAAGCTCCCTTCTAATAAATATGACATTCACCAGATTATCAGCATGAACACCGTAAGCATATCTGAAATGAATGAAGAAAAGGTTATATGGGGATTTATTTTCAACTTCAGATTTAGATTTCTAGCATATTCTAATAACCAGAATGGGTGTGATGTTGAGCATACCAAGAGATTTAAGGAACCACTAGGAATAAAAAATGCATTGAAATGTGTTTAAATTTTCAAAATGGAGTAAATGTCAAGTCAAAAACTGTGGCCTCAATTAGTTGGATGTGGTACTTTTAAGAAAGAATGAAAGAGTGTCTAGAAAGAATCAAATTCATTCTCAACCAAAAACTGAAGTTCTGTATGGAAATTATAAATGGTGAAAAGATGCATGAAATGTCCTAGAGAACTACGGTAATACTAATTGTATAAAAATATATTCACTTATCTGAAGAAAACTCTACAGGTGCCTCATCTGTACCCAGCCTTGCAAATCTATCTCAGATTTTGCTTTTGTTGAAATTCAGTTGATAAGGTTTGAATCTGTTCCTGACAAGTTTCAAAAGTCTTGCAAAAATTCTAATTTGTTGACAGGTCCAAGCAGGAATGTGTGCATATCTTCTATCTGTGTAGAAATGACATTAAGTACTGAACCTTTAACAGGGTTTTGCTCTTGCAGTGATTTATGCTGCTTGTGTTCCTCATAGCCAAAAGCTCTCATTCCAAATAGTGTGCCTAATTTCCTGCTTAGAAATTGACCACCATTAATGGAACCTTGTCCGAGACAATGTTTAACTGTTCCTCCTAGTATGAACCTACCCCAGAATGCTCTCCAGCTGCTACAGGAAATCACCTCTGTGACACAATGCCTTTGTTTCAGTTTATTTTACTTTGCCACAATTCCACTTTGACATGAGTATTGACGAAGAAGGTGTTGTTAGGGATGGGCAAAGTGATGCATCACCAAGAAAATGACGACAAAGACAACAATGATGACAACAACGACAACAACATTTTTTTTTTACAAAACAACTCTGGCAGAGAAGGTATTGCCTTCAGAGTTGTAACTAGCATTTTTGGCAGCTGAAGCAAGCAACAAAAAATGCATGCTCCAACCAACCATGTAATTCATGATGAGAAAATAATACAGTGAAGTAATTACAACAATGAACTCCTTGCCAGGATCTCTCCACCTCCACAGTGGAACAGCAGCAACATGAGAACACAGGAAAAGTGTATATAATGTTTAGTTTATTATATATAGTAATAAGCTAACTTTCTGTATCTGTTCAGACCAGAGGTCTGGTCTGCCCAAGTCTCAGGCAGACATGCCTTCCAACGGGTGAGCCTGGTCTACCCATGATAGAGCAGCCTTCTATGTGGATGCTGCCTCCAGACCCTGGTTTACTGAGGAATATATCTGAGGATGTGGACTTGTCCACAAAAGCTCATATTAAAATGTAGCAGTCTTTTTTGTCCATTTTTATTTTTTGGAATATTGTTAAGTTCTACAATTTACTTTAGAAACAAGGTGGCTGAGCTTGTGTGCAAATATCATATATTTTGTCCTCCTCCTGCTGCCTATTTCCATCTAAGAATGAGACATTATATCCACATATTCCTGAATATGCTCCTCTTAAGAAGAAGAGATAGAGACAATTCAGTCCTGCTTCTGCCTCCTCTGTTGTGCATCTGCAGGAAAGACATTGTCATTGTGGTGGTTCTTGTTTCTGCTTGTATACTGCCCCATAGCGCTAAAGCACTCTGTAAGCAGTACAACATAATTATGCAAACAACTCTTTGCCCACCAGTGAGATGGGTATTCATTTCACTAACCTTGGAAAGATGGAGTTAATCTTGAGCCAGCTTCCTGAATCCATCAGGATCAAACTCAGGTTGGGAGCAGAGACTTGGCTGTTGTCCTGCAATTTAACCACTGCACCATGGGACTCCTTGTGCCAATTCTGCTATTTAAAAGAAAGGCTCTCCTATGTGTTCTCTTCCTCATGCTACCATTCTGATGAAGAAAGACTGGCTATTGTGAAATCATGTTGATGTTGCTGACTGAAAGAGAAAGACCAGTCATTGTGATGGCATTGGGATGTCATTGGGATATCATCTGCTCACTTGAAGCAGAAAATGGGCAATGTTTTCTCAAGCCACCATCCATTGGAAGGAAAGCCAAAATCTGGGCTAAATCCATTATTAGTCCTACCTAAAGTAAACCCACTGAAATCCATGAGAATTAAGTCAGCTGTAACCAGCAACTAATGAGTTCATTCATTTGAATTGGTCTACTCTACATCCAGTAAATACTGGACTTAGCCCCCTGTCTTCACAGTATATTGACAGGATGCACATATACTCCTCACCTTCCAAAATGTTCCCCTGTGACTATTATGCTTTGGAAACACCTCTGTTGGCCTTTTCAGGAACTGCAGTCAGTTATCAAGAGTACAGAAGGATGATAGGATATATAAAATAAAGAAAATACAGACAACAATCTTGATCATGCCAGCTGGGGATTCTGGGAGGGAGTCCAAAACAGTAACTTGTTCAAGGCATGACATTAAACTGATTATAATGTTTAGGTTATGCATTAAAGATAATCTAAAGAGTCAATCTCTTTATTCTTCCTACAGCTCACTAATCTTCCTAAATTTACTAACTAAAACATAGGCCTTTTGCAATGACAGAAATATAACCAAATTCCTATAGAATTTTAAAGTAATTTAGAATATATTAATTGAACAATTGCAAAACAAATAAACAAAAAAAGCACACAACATGGCATAATATATGATAATGAATAATATCCTGGTCATGCAAAAAAACCCCTCATGGTTATTTCTCATAAATTAGGGAAAGATGAAACATCCCCCAATTTATATAAAATCTCCCCAACCCTGATGTAGACCAACTGCACACTCTGATATAGACCATGGATTTCTTAAGATTTTAGATTTTTGCTTGCATCATTAGCAAATCTATTATGCAAAGTAACTGGGAAGTATAAAGAGGACCAGACAAGGTTTTATCTGCTTGTAAAAATTATTTAAATGTTTTTTAAAGAATTACAAACTAAGTTTTTATGGAAGTTGTTTTTGTATTTTGAAAAGGCATATGATAGGATTGAGCAGTCTTATCTGTTGTGCAATGTTCCTACAGGAGAATGGTCTTTGAATTGGCTACCTTGTACACAGGAAATCGATAACTAGGATAGCAATTAGCAGCACATTTTTGATCCACTACATTTATCCCAGAATACTAAACAGTGGTATCCTCTTCTCTGTACTGTTTTTTCAAAGCAATTGCAATAAGAACTCAGGGGAAAAAACCCTCAGAGATAAAGCTGGGTAAATGAATTCTTGAATTTTCTTTGTGAAAATTATATTGTGATCACTTTTATTCATCCAGTTATGTCCTTTTCATTGTTCTATCATAGTTCATCAAATGTTCAGTTCTGAAAAGGAGCCTATCATTCTCCATCAACACGTAATCTCAAATGTTCACCTATAAAAAACATGAAGTGTCATGAAAAGACAAATAATGGTGACATTATTTATTTATTTATTTATTTATTTATTTATTTATTTATTTATTTATTTATTTATACCCCGCCTATCTGTTCGTCGTGAACATTACCTTTTGTCACGTTCCCGGGGGTTACAACAGCCGAAGTCCAATAAACCAGTCCAGGGTCAAGAATACAAAGCCAATGTCCATAAATCAACTCACAGAATGAAGTCCAGTGTCAAAGTCCAGAGTCCGATACACAGCGTAGTCCAGGGGCAGAGTCCA